CCCCCTTAGTATTCTCCGACAGTACCACCCTGTCCCCAGGACACCTCAGATCCCCCAGAGTCCTGCCTGCCCCCATCACCCCCGGGATACCCTACCGGGGGTCATACCTGTCTCCCCATCGCACCTCCGATCCCCCAGGGTGCTACCTGCCCCCATCACACCCGTGCTCCCCAGACTACTATCTCTGTCTCCTCCCTCCCCACCTGCCAGCAGCCACACCTGTGATCTTATCCCGAACCAACTTGCAGGATTCGATGTCACCAATGCTGCCGAAGAGACTCTTGAACTCGTCCTGGGTCATGTTCTGGGGCAGGTAGTTGACAATGAGGTTGGTCTTGCTGTCATCAGTGGCTCCATTTGTACCAAGGAGTGGCCCGTTGGGCAGGGCCGGGCCGGCCGGGCCCCCCGCCACCTGAGACTCCATGGCCCCGAGTATCTGCTGGAGATAACAGGCCACACCCGCTCACGGCCCAGTCCCCACACCAGGGATCAGTGGTGATGCATCAGTCATGTCTGACATGGGCTTAAACATGGAGAGAGGACAACATATTATCCTATTAATCTCTTCCACTCCTCCAGCATCAGGCATAGCACCTTACGTGTGATTTTACTGTGAAAAATTCCATACATGTCTGGTGTCTACGTTTGCCTGTTTGCCTAAAATCAATCTGTGCATTTCCAGAAGAGTAAAATGAACACCTTTGTCTTCAGAATAAGAAATATATTTTTATTAGCTTTGAAGTCCTCATAAGCTCCTCCCTAGCCATGGACTGCCCTCATCCATCAAAGGATGAGGGACTGCCCTCATCCACATCCCAGATGTGTTAATATTTCTTTTGCTTCATGCATAATTTTCCCACTAGGCATTTACCCCCACGTTTTTCCCACTGAGCTCTTTTTCATTTTATTACTTATTGTTATTTATGATTTTTTAAGATTTTATTTTTAGGTAATCTCTACACCCAGTGTGGGGCTTGAACTCACAACTCCGAGGTCAAGAGTCGCATGCTCTCCTGACCGAGCCAGTCAGGCACCCCTGAGCTATTTAAATGTATCACATAATAACACCTGCAAATAAGGACAGTTTTAATTATCTCCAATCTAGACCTGTTCCTTATTTTTCTTGTCTTATTGCAGGGGCTACAGTGCGACAGTGGCTTCTTTATTCATGATGTTAAAGGAAATGCTTTAAACGTTTCACAGCTAAATTTGATTTTTGATATGGATTCTGTGTAGATGGCCTTTATCACATTAAGAATGTTTCATTTTATTCCTAGTATCCTAACAAGATTTCGTTTTTCAAGAATAGGTGTTGAATTTTATTTTTGAATTTTATTTAACTTTTTTCCTACACCTATTTTTTAAATAGTTGACATAGAATATTAGTTTCAAGTGTACAACATGATTCAATATTTGTATATATTGAAAAGTACTGGGATGGATTGGTATTGTCTGTCATGGGCATGGGAAGGGAAAATACCCAGCATGTCCTTAGGTTTTTCTCCCAAGGCATGGTTGGCCGATGGATGGCCTTCACCTAAAAAAATCAAATCTATTGGTAGGGTGTTCCTAACGGGACAAATTAGGAAGGATTACAAACCACATTCAGTTTCCACGGGAAAGATCACTGTGATTGATTAGCAATGTCTGTGGCTACAGAATTAGAGTCAGCAGGTACACATCATCTCAGCCATCCCTAACCAAAAAATACAATACCATATTTGTTCCCAAATATTGGGCATACTGTGTGCCAGGTATAGTGCAAAGCTCTCTATGGGCAATGTTTTGTTTTTGTTTTTTTTCTTATTCACAACCACCCTGAAAAGAGGGGTTAATTTTCCCTGCTTAACAGATGCTATGAACGTAAAGCCTGTGTTCCCTCGACTTCATATGTTGAAATCTTGACCCCCAATGTGATGGTATTTGGAAGTGGAGCCTTTGGGAAGTAATTGGGTCATGAGGGCAGAACCCTCATGAATGAGATTCATGTCCTTAACAAAAAAGTGACAGGAGAGACATTCTCTCTCTCTCCACAATGTGAGGACACAGCAAGAAGACGTCCATCTGCAAAGGAGGGAGCAAGTCCTTACTAGCAACCGAATCAGCTGGCACCTTGATCTTGGACTTCCCAGAATCCAGAAGAAGATTTGTGATAAATAAATGTCTGTTGGTTAAGCTGCCCAGTTGACGGTATTTTGTTATAGCAGCCTGAGCTAAGACAACAGACGAGGAGAGGGAAGTTCGGCGATGTTTTAAAAATTACCAAAGATCGGGGCACCTGAGTGGCGCAGTCAGTTAAGCATCTGACTCTTGATTTCAGCTCAGGTCACGATCGCACAGTTGGTGAGTTTGAGCCCTGACGGCTGGTCGCTGACAGCATGGAGCCTGCTTGGGATTCTCTTTCTCTCTCCCTCTCTCTGTCCCTCCTCCACTTGTGTGCTCTCTCCTTCTCTCAAAATAAATACATAAACTTCAAAAAAAAAAAAAAAAAAAAAAAAAATGACCAAAGATCACGCAGCTTATAAATAGTGAAGCAGGGGTTCGCACGCGAGATTTCCTCATCCAGAGTCTGTAATTCTAACTGCTCTAACGTTTCTCAGCCGTGTGTCCTCAGGTAGACTACATGACGCTTCTGGGCCTCTGCTCCACTTTGCTGCAAACTCCAAATTATTGGCGCGGTGACCCCCACCGAAGGATCTGAAGCTACTCGCACGGCTGGGAAGCATTCTGGGATCAGTTAGCCAGGTCTGCCATGAGCGCAATTACGAGAAGCAACTCGTCATGTCTGCCATCCCTGCCTCAAAATAGGGCTGGTCAAACTCATCCTGCCCCACGGACATCTTCTGTGAGCCAGGCACCGGGTGAGGTGCTTACAGGCAACATTTCCCTTATTTCTCCCAATCAGCTTTAGAGCTGGCCACACAGTCTCCATTTTATAAGAGAGAGAGCTCAGAGACGCTGAGTGATACATACATGGGGCACTTGATTTCAAACCTGGATATGTTGGCGGACTTCAGAACTGTTTTTAATGACAGTGGCCAAGGCACGGGGGCGGGGGTGGGGGGCACCTTCTAGCTGTGTATCCTTGGGGGGGGTGGTGATCGTAGCTCTTCTTTGGGCCTCTGTTTCCTTTCCATTTATTCTTATTAAAAGGATGGCCCTGAGGGTCAACCCCCTGCATCTCCAGTTGGCTGAGAGTGGCTGTCTGGGGGCTGGCTGGAGGGTTATTCTGAAGCCACATCCAGACGGAGCAGGATCATGCACTGGGTTGATGAGCAATGTCTGCCATAGGCGCCGGCAATAAGACAGTAACGCACATTACAGATCTGCGTCCAGTTTCATAAGATTAATACTTTCCTGATACCGTGGCCATGTATTGAGGGCCGGCTCTCCCAACATTGAACATTATGGCACTCTTTTCTCCATTTGACAGAAGAGGAAACAGAGTCTCCACGAAGGGGTAGGGATTTATACAAGGTTAGGGAGCTCGCAAATGGTGGGTCAAGAATTCAAACCCGGAGCTTGGACATCAGCCCATTTGACTAACAAAAAGGCCAACAATAGTGAAAATAACAGCAAAGTGAAGCTGTGTCTCCGCATTTAACCCCACTCTGCAGGCCAAGTCTACTCATTCAATTCAACAAATGCTTGCTGGGTACCATCAGGTGCCAGCTCCTGGCCCCACCCTCCTCACTGTGCATCTTCTGACACTCACATTGCCTCTCCGGGCCTCTGTCCCTCCACTAAAGATATGGCACAGAGGTTTCCCACGTACAAAGATGGGTTCTGTATTCCCTTCTGGCTCAACAGACTAGAGTTCTGTGATTGGTTGATGATGTCTGCGCTGGGAGTCCCCAAAATAATTAACAGTACAAAACCAGTTCCAGGTCTGGAGCCCCTACTATGTGGCCAGGCACTGAGCAGGTGCAAAGGTTTCACTGACTTCCCACAACCACACTGAAAGCTGGGGATCACCTCCGTTTCTCAGGTGGAGAAAGCGAGGGTCAGAGGGACCTGTGATTTGCCTGGGGATGACACGGAGCCGTGGGAGCGATGGAGTTTGACTACTGATCTGATTACTCCAGACAGAGCCCCCAGGGCCATCCCAAATGTCCTCAGCTTGGATGCGGTTAAAAGGTAATTGGGGTTCCTATCCAGGATCTTGAGACCCAGCCTACTAATCTCCCCACCACCCCATCTCTCTCCCAGCTGTGCCAGAGCTTAGCAGGATCAGTGTCGCGTTTCCTCTGCAGCTCAGCCGGCTGAGCCGATAATAGGGATCGGATTGGTGGAGACCACACCCGCTCTGCCCCAGCCCATGACAAATGCGTGGCCTGGGATGACTCCGGGATCACAGGGACCTTGGAGGGCTGTCCCAGGACAGGAGCGGAGGGGTGAAGTCAGAGGGGAGGAGGGCAGGTCAAAGATGGATAGGCAGAGATCAAGTGGGAGCAATAGAACCTTTCCTCCCAGTCTCTCCAGCTCTTCCTCTGGATCCGTACCTCTTTCTGTTTCTCTCTCCCTCCCCACCCCCCACCCCCGCCCCTGTTTCTCTCTTCTTCTCTCCCCTCTGAGCCTGTCTCTCTCCCCCTTTCTCTCTCAGCCACTCTTTTTCCAACTCTTTTGCACCATTGCACATACATGACATATGGATTTTGCAGCGAATACACCTGCAGTCACTCTCTATGTAGACCCTTCTGTGTCTGACCCCCTTGGCCCCTAGCTGGGCCCCCTGGCCCCAGTCACAATGATAGATGCCTGGATACTGGCGACAATAGGGCATTGAGTGGCTATGCATGGTAAGGCTAGGCCACCACGTGGTGCTAACTAGGCCTCCCACTTCTGGGCCCTTCTCCATCCATGCAGGGCCCTCACTGTCTCAGTCTATCCCCTCACTTCCTCCCATCCTGTTCTCATGGTGGACCTCTGCCCGAGTGTCCTCCAGTGGAGTAACCAGGCCTTCCAGGGCTTCAAGGCCCTTGTGTGACCTCTGACCACACCCTCGCCCTTTTGTGCATTAGTTTCCCTCTTTTAAATGAGGGAACAGATCAGAGGAATGGATGCTGGACTGTTGTGGGGGTTCTGAGGGTCCTCAGGAGGCTGCACTCACGTCTCGCACCTAAATTAGCAGCCTGAGGCCCAGAGAAGGGAGAGAGCCGACCTAAGGTCACACAGCAGGGAAGCAGGGCCTCTCAGGGCCTCCTTTCTCTGAGCCAGGTGGGCGGGTCCCAGAGTCCCAGACATGGAAGGAGTGCTGAGCATCCCCCCACCCACTGTGCTCGCCACGACTCCAAGAAGAGGCCCAGGGACACAGGGCACAGACACACACACACACAGACCAGAAAGACAGTAAGTACGGAAGAAGGAGGCCTGGGCGCTGGGACCAGACAAAGGACGCGCGGCGGCGCGGGGAGCGGAGTCGCGCGGCGGGGGCGGGGGTGGAGCCGGG